TAATTTCTATTAAACAGTCCTAAACTGAACTTAATTTAGAAATGGTTTTCTTTGTTTTGTGGGACTTATCCTATATTAGATAAGAATAAAATGCTCAATACTTCCTGTATGATCATTTTTTGTTCTACAAATTCCAGAGGAGTAACCACACCAAAGGAATTTAGCAACAAACTTCAGAAGATAGAGTGATTGGCAAATATCATTTAAATTTTATTTATATTATAGGACAGATGCCTTACCTTTTGTTTTAAGAAAAAGACAATTTAAGGAAAATTCCAAGATGGCAGAATAGGGAGGGAGCTAGTTTAAAAAAAAAAAAAAGTAGAGAGAGTGCAATTTCAGGAAAGAATTAGGGAGAAAACTGCAGAAAACACCTCACAAATTAGAGGGACACTGTGCATCTATGTGGAGGGTGTAGACACACACAACTCAGGACCCCAGCAGAGCTAAGAGCCTCAGCACCAGCTTTGGAGAGTGAGGTGAGACCAGACTGCATCAGCCCAAGCCACGGGCAATAAAGCTGCAGGAAGACCCTGGTGTGGGTCTGGCTTGGAGCCAAGTGGGAGAGTGTACTTGCCGATCTAGAGGGCATAAATTGAGGGGAGCCACATTTCTCTCTCCCTGACTACTCAGCACTGGCATCCTGTGAGACAACCTGAGAGAGGGCAGACACCATTTTGGAAATATGTAACAGCTGTGTTAGTTTGCATCTGCATGCCCAGCAACCAGCTAAAAGGAGATGCCTGAGTCTGACTGGGAGAATTGACAGGGGGCTGGGCACTCATGACCGTGACAGCCCTGTGTTCGGGGACAGACTGTGAAAACACTATGGCTGCATGGGAGGACACAGGGTATGCTGTGTCTCTGTGCACTCACTGTAGGTGGCTCCACACACTCAGGGCTCCCTGATTGCCTGGGTGAGAGTCTTTGCTGCAGGAACTGGGCTCACACTGAGGACTGTACAGATCCTTTGTGTAGTTCTTGCAGCAGTGCAGATGAATATTATACCCACTGGGGCTAGCTCCCAATCACTGGTTGGAGGAGAGGAGGTGAGTGTGAGCCTATGTCAACAGAAATGATCAAACCTCCCCCTTGATTAAAAAAGAGAGATTTAACATGCCCAACTTGGGTGCCACCTTATACAATCCTCTCACCCTGGAGCTCTGTTCACAGAGCTCCCAGGCCACACCCGGCACACACCTCTGGCTATTCACTGAAAGCAGACACTCCACTAAGTCACAGAGGCATAGTACAAAGATAAAAGCCATTACAGGAGAAAAATTTTAAAAAGTATCTCCACAAATGCCTAAAAATAAACACAGAAATTCAAGAATAAAGAATAAGGAAGACAGGGGCCAGTGCTGTGGTGTAGTGGGTAAAGTTGCCGCCTGCAGTGCTGGCATCCCACATGGGCACCAGCTCAAGTCCCAGCTGCTCCGTTTCTAATCCAGCTCTCTGTCATGGCCCGGGAAAGCAGTGGAAGACAGCCTAAGTCCTTGGGTCCCTGCACCTATGTGGGAGAACTGGAAGAAGCTCCTGGATCCTGGATTTAGATGCCCAGCTCCAGCCATTGTGGCCATTTGGGGAGTGAACCAGCAGTTGGAAGACCTCCCTCCTCTCTGCTTCTCCCTCTCTGTAACTCTGTCTTTCAAATAAATAAATAAATCTTTTAAAAAAAGAATAAGGAAGACAACATGATACCCCAAAGGAACACTTCAATACTAGAACTACAACACTTCAATACTAGAATGTGAAGATGAAGAGACTGAAGAAATGCCGGAAATGTAATACAGAAAATTGATCATAAGATTACTTAGAAGTAATCAGAAGCAATCCATGAATTAAAGAAATCTACACATGACATGAATAAAAATTTTTCCCATGAAATTGAGATTTTTAAATAGAAATACTGAAAATGAAGAATGCCATAGATCAAATAAAAAATGCAGTGGAAGGCCTTGACAACAGACTTGGTGAGGCAGAACAAAGAATATCTGGGTTGGAAGACAAATTTCTGGAAATTTACTGTCAGACCAGAAAAAAAAAAAAAAGAAATTAGAAAACTAAAAAACAGTGTCGGAGATTTATGGGGTACTATCAAGCAACCCAACACACGGTCTTAGGAGTTCCCAAAGGCATGGAAAGATGGACTGAATTAGAAGGCCTTTTTAGTGAAATAATTACAGAAAACTTCCATAATTTGGGGAATGAAAGGAACGTTCAACTACAGGAAACACATAGAACTAATAGATGTGATCAGAAAAGATCTTCACCACAACACATTGTAGTCAAACTCTTAGACCTGTTTGTTCTTCAAGAATAAAAAGATGTTTTAATACTTCATTGCTATTGGATGTCCTCTGTAGATAAACCACATAGTGGGAGAATCATAAAAAGATGAAGAAATATCATCACTGCCTCATTAACTCAACACATATTTACTGTGCTTTGTGGATTTTTCACATGCCTGGCATGTGGCAAATTGTAAAAAGAAAAAAATAACACAGTATTTATTAAAGCAAGAGGATGAACAGAAAAATCACAAAAACACAAGCATTAAGTCTTTTTTTATCCTATACAGTGGCAATCATCTTCCAAATATTCTCTAAGCACTGAAAACTATGAAAAAGCAAATTGTGAGAGTGTGTGTGTGTGTGTATGTGTGTGTGTGTGTGTATTCCAAAAGATTAGAGGACTGAGTGAAGGGTAATATATTCAGCATCAATATAACAGTAATTAGGAATCTGGCTCCTAAAACGCAGTCCCTTCCTAAATCTTACAACTCATCCCCATATTGTTTCACATCAAAGCAGCCCTTCTACTCTCTTCCATAGGAGTCAGGTATTCCCAGAGTCAAGACTGTTAATTACCATTCCAGATGTCTGGGACATCCAGGCTGCCAGTCTCCTCCTAAGTCTTTAACCCAACTGTTCTAAATTCATACAAAATTAAGTGTCATCAATTAAACTTTTGATTCATAGATGCCTTCCTCCTGCACACAGATTACAACCTCCACGTGAACAAGAACCAGGGAACATTTTACTACTCACCATATTTAACAAGTGGTAGAAATATACCAACTGCTTAAAATATTTATGAATTACTTATTTCCTTAGGAAGTAAATGACAATAAATAACTAGTTGAGTTTTAATATAGACACTTAAATAAACTTATTAATCTGAGAGTTTCACACTAAAATCTTATTATGTCTGAAGTTAGGTGACTTTAGAACCAGCATTGTGCAGCAGGTATAGCTACTGCCTGTAACACTAGCATCCCATATGGGTGCTGGTTTGAGTCCTGGCTGCTCCATTTGGGATCCACCTCCCTGCTAATGCACCTGGGAAAGCAGCAAAAGATGGCCCAAGTGTTTGGGCCCCTGCCACCCACATGGGAGATCCAGATAGAGCTCCTGGCCCCCCCGCTTCCACCTGACCCACCCCTTGCCATTGTGGCCACCTGGGTAGTAAGCCAATGGATGGAAAACCTCTCTCTCTCTCTCTCTCTCTCTCTCCCTCCCTCTCTCTCTCTGTAACTCTGACTTTCAAATAAATACATTTTTAAAAATAAAAAATACAGTCAGGCAACTTTGACAACCACATTCATTTTTAAAATTCCATCAGCAGCAGTTAGTCAATCACTAACTTTTCCTAAATACGTACCAGTATTTCTATCCAATATTCTAGAGAATCATTTACTTTAGCAAATTATGGCTTAAGCAAAACAAACACTGTATTCCTCTAGTATCCTTAAAAACATAAACTTACCAGGTATGAATATATAATCCTCAGAACTTTGATTTATATAATCAATAAATATAAAATACTGACCTATGACCTGATATAAACATACTATAAATCATCAAGGTTCCTAAGACTTTAGTAATTATACAATTTTATTTAAAAATAGACTATTTATAGAATATTTTAAAGTTGAAGTTAGTTCCCAGACTTACATAAGGAATCCATTCAAAGGTGCATGTGTTTATACTCAATGCTATGTGAGAGGTTATTCACAAATACTCAGAAGTCAACTTCCAAGAAACACTTTAAATTACCTAAAAACTTTAAAAAAGTAGCAACTTGCCAGTAAACTTCCCTGTGATCTTTGATATCTTTAAATCAAAAAAGAATTTCTATAACCTTTCCCTTCCAAAATTTGAGAGCTTACAGAAAGACTCTCCCTCAAAATTCCCAAAAATGTTATGATTTTCTAAATATTCCATGAGGCTTAAAAAAAGGGGGAAGCAAAAACTAGGAAAATCAGTTTTATTCTAGTACTGTAATTGAATTAAAAAGTGCTATGAATAATTGCATCAGAAAATATTATGTGGAAGTAAAACCATCTCTCAGGCTGGTGACGTCTGTATCAGTTTATGACATCTTGTGATACAATATTAAGAAACTGTTTATTAAGAAGGGGAGAAAAACATACTGGATCACGAAACTGATCATTGGCAAGATGGACCACCTCATGGCAAGACCTGAGTCAGCTTGAAGAACCCAGGTCTTCTCTGTGACCTGCTCTGCATTTCACTATGGTACTTTCTTTTATTTTTTTAAAAGATTGACTGATTGATTTAAAAGGCAGAGTTGAGAAAGGCAGAGATGGAGAGAAAGGTTTTCCATCCACTGGTTCACTCCCCCAATGGCCGCAATGGCCGAAGCTGCGTTAATCTGCCACCAGGAGCCAGGAGTTTCCTCAGGGTCTCCCACGTGGGTGCAGGAGCCCAAGGACTTGGAACATCTTCTACTGCTTTGTCAGACCATAGCAGAGAGCTAGATCAGAAGTGGAGCAGCTGGCACTTGAATTGGCACCAAAATGGGATGCTGGCGCTGCAAGAAGCAGCTTTACCCGCTACACCACGATGGCAGCCCCTCACTATGGTACTTTCATCCTTGATTTCCACACACTGGTCTCTTAGAACACAGGTACTCCCCAGATTCCCACAGTATCTCCAAAACCACACATCCTCACACCACTTGCCCATGCTGCTTACCAGGTTGCATATCTTGACCACTTCTGGTTCCAAGACTATCTGTGTGCACATGTATGTGTAGATGGATCTCATCTGCAATACCTAAGTTCAGCATGGAAAAAAAAAAAAAACCTTAGAGATAAAGATCAAAGTTTTAATACAATGGAATATATATTAAGATACTTACAATAGGCTGACGCCATGGCTCAATAGGCTAATCCTCTGCCTGCGGCACCGGCACACCGGGTTCTAGTCCCAGTCGGGGCGCCGGATTCTGTCCCAGTTGCTCCTCTTCCAGTCCAGCTCTCTGCTGTGGCCCGGGAAGGCAGTGGAGGATGGCCCAGGTCCTTGGGCCCTGCACCCCATGGGAGACCAGGAGAAGCACCTGGCTCCTGGCTTCAGATCAGTGCGGTGCGCTGGCCACAGCGTGCCGGCCGCAGTGGCCATTGGGGGGTGAACCAACAGAAAAGGAAGACCTTTCTCTCAGTCTCTCTCTCTCTCTCACTGTCCACTCTGCCTGTCAAAAAGAAAAAAAAAAGATACTAACTATAAAACATATAGTAATGATAAAAATTATTTCCATAAGTATGTGTTTCACTGTATACATGTATATGTGTGAGTGTCACTGCATTTGCTCAAATAAAATAAAACTTTATTTGGGGGGCCGCCATTGTGGTGTAATTGGTAAAGTCGCCAGCAATGCCAGCATCCCCCATGGGTGCCAGCTTGAGTCCAGGCTGCTTCACTTCCAATCCAGCTCCCTGCTGCTGAGCTTGGGTAAGCAGTGGAAGATAGCCCAAGGGCTTGGGCCCCTGCCACCCACATGGGAGACCTGCAGGAAGCTCCTGGATCTTGACTTTGGCCTGGCCCTGCCCTGGCATTTTTGGCAATCTGGGGAGTAGACCAGGGAATGGAAGATCTATCTCTTCATCTCTCTCTCTCTCTCGGTCCCTCCCTGTCTGTAATTCTACCTTTCAAGTAAATTTTTTTAAAAAAAGTTTATTTGGTATAAATATATGCCACACTTCCTCCAATTAATAGAATAACTATGTCAGTAAAAAGACATGAAATAATATAACATGGTAAGTTACTCATTGGAATGGAGCCAAACACAAGGTGAAAAACAAGGAGTGAGGTGATAGTGGTGGCTAGTGACAGGTAAGAACGAAGATGGGAACCAGACAAAGGGCTTTATCATAGAGGCAAGGGAAGCCAAATGGCAGTCTGGAGCAGTGACTAAGAACGAAGCACTTTGCATTGAAAGATTCTTCAGGCAGCAATGGAAAGAATGAACTAAGGAGGGCAGTAAGGCAGGTCCAAAGACAAGTTAACAACAGGAAGACAAATGACGTGTAGGCAAAGATGTGAAGGATGTGACATGTCTGGGAGATACAATGAGAGATGAGCTCAAAGAGCTTGATGGTCAACTAAATATAAGGAATGAAAGAGAAATAAGAATGATGGACAATGCACCTTCTTCAGTAGGAAGTGAGTGGAAAACCAGTGGTTCCCATCAGTAAGAGCAGGAACTCACATAAAGGGAGCAGACGTGACTGGTGCAGACAGGGCTTACTTTAAGATCTGTGTAAGATGTCCAGATTAATGTCCTGGTAACAATACAAATGAACTCAGAACAGTTTCTGTCCAGGACAGGGAACACGGAACCATCAATAATGTGGCCACTAAAAAGCAATTAAGTAAGAAGGACCAAGGACAAAAGACTATGAAGTCTCTCGTATTACAGGGGTAGGTAGAGAGAAATGAATATGCAATAGAGACTAAAGGAGATGAGATGGACAAAGCATACAATTCAACTACAATGCCCACAGAGTGATCAAGCTCAATGAGTTCTGAAAAGAATCTGTTGGACTTGGCAATGAAGAGGTTATTTGGTGGCAGTTTCCAATGGTAGAGTCAGGAGCTTTATCACAGTGCATTGAAATATTAGACAGAAGGTGAATATTTGGAGACAGTAAATACAAGGAGTGTGTGTGTGTGTGTGTGTGTTAGGAACTTCAGTGTGAAAAAAGCAGTGTCTAGAGGGTTGTGAAGGCTAAAAGGAAGGTTGCTCTGGTTGTTTGAAGTAATTTTTTTAATATTTATATGAGAGGATTGTGCTGAGAAGGCATTAGAAAACAGATTGAAAGGCAGGAAGAGTAAGGGGTAAAGAGAGAACAGTGTTTCTTAGAAGGCAGAGGGAAGTTGGATCAAAAGAAAAGCAGAGGTCTGAACTGGTCCTGTCCAGTCAAATGGTCTGCAGCAATGGAATGGTTCTCTGTGGTGCCCAGTATGATAACCACTAGCTGTACTCATATGCAGCTACTGAGCCCTTGAAATGCGAGTAGTACAACTGAGGAACTGCACTTTTGAATTTAAATAGGTGCATATTGCTACAGAATTGAATACTACAGGTCCTCACTAGAAGAATGAACATGAGGTTGAGGACCCATCATTTAGGAGATAAAGGCTGGGCTCATGTTTGATGGTCTCATGTAGAAAGGCAGATTAACTGAAAGGCAGAGGAGTAGTGACAAGATAGGACCCTGGAGAGAAGCTGTAAGGTTTCCAATGGACACAAAGAACTGACCAGAACAATTAAAAAACAGAACTGCAGAACTAAGGACCCAGTTAAGACGCAAGACCACTAAGGTAGTACAGTACAGGAACAGCTAAGACATGTGGCTGGCTTGAAACCAAAGTTGATAAACTGAATGACAGAAATGTTAATAAGAGATTGTTGACATCAAACATTGTGCCATGGACTTAGAAGGAAACCAAGCTATATGTTCAGGAGAAAAGCAAGAGGCAAGAAAACAAAGTCTCAAATAGGTCAAAGAACTGATGTAAAGGATAAGTGAGGGGCCGGCACTGTGACATAGCAGGTGAGGCTGCCATATGCAGTGCCGGCATCCCATGTGGGTGTCAGTTCGAGTCTCAGCTGCTCCACTTCTGATCCAGCTCTCTGCTGTGGCCTGGGAAGGCAGTGGAGGATGGCCCAGTCCTTGGGCCACTGTGCCCATGTGGGATGACCCACAGGAAGCTCCTGGCTCCTGGCTTCAGAAGGGCACAGCTCCGGCCATTGCAGCCAATTGGGGGGTGCACCAGCAAATGGAAGACCTCTCTCTCTCTCTGCCTCTCCTCTCTGTAACTCTGACTTTCAAAATAAATAAATAAATAAAATCTTTAAAACAAAAAAAAAGGTGGGGGGATAAATAAGAGAGAGACAGCAGGAGTATATGGATGAATTAAGACCAAAAAGGATGGAGTCCCTCTATGTAATGGCAAGGTTTAGCTCAACTTCCAAAGGCTTAGCAGTAGTAACCTAGAAATGAGATTGGACAGCCATCTGTGTAGGATTGGGATAACAGGTATGTGGCAGAGAGACTAATAATAATCTGCCACCTATAAGCTGAAGACCCAGGAGAAGCAACACACAGCTTGAAGGCATAAGAGCTTAAGAGGTAATGGTGGATCCCAGTCTGAAGCTTTAGAAGCCATAGTTCAGAGAACAAGAGAAGGCGGGGTCCCAACTCAAGCAGCCAGGAAGAGAGAGGGCCAATCCAGCCTTTCTCCACCTACTTGTTGTAGTCAGGCCATCAGTGGATTGGATGATGTCTACCCACACTGGACAGAGCATTGGGTTTTATTCAGCCCATTATTTCAAATGCTAATCTCTTTCCAGAAACACTCTCACAGACCCAGATCTGCCTATGTCATGGCCCAGTCAAGTTGACACAGGAAATTAACAATCACAGGTGCCATGGAAGAATATGAGCCAGGTCACAAAGTGCCAAACTGGGCAGGCCGGAAGAGTGTGAGTCAACTGAGACAGACCAGGAGGCCCTGAAGGAGGACTTCTGGGGGAGATGCAGAGAGTCAGAGGTAGTCAACCATCAACAGAGATGATCCCATACCCTTAGAGAAGTTCCCGCTGGTATCACAATCAAATTAGTCAACTTCAAAGATCCTCCAGCTGGTTTACTCAGGGTTTGTGTTGTGTCTCACTTTCTTCACAGAGGGAGAACAAATAGCTACAATTTCCATTAGCAGTATTATAAAATCAGGTTGTGGCTTATACAGCTAAAGACAAGCATTCTCTCTCTCCCTCTCTCTCTCTCTCACACACACGCACACACACACACTTTAGGACTTTAATAGCTAAAACTGGGAACTTAGATGTTTCCTTTCTCCTACAGTGTCAACACTGCCTGTGTGCGCATGCCAGATACACACACATACACTCACATGTCCATGTCACACACAGATGCTTTCCAGACACTGCTTTTGCAACTATCACAAAAACTATTAAACCAAGATTGAACAGTATCCTAGTTCTTATTTATATATAACTAGTTCTATTTTTGTGAATATTAATATAATGTGTTTAGATACTTTAGATATGGATACCTTAAATAATAATTGATACCAAATTCTTTAAACTGTATTCTCTCTTTCAAGAACTTTTACTGCCCCCTGTGGCAATCTGATGACAAAAAAAAAAAAAAAAAAAAAAAAAAAAAACAAAACAGAAATACAGTATCCTAAAGATAGACTCACAATTCATAAATAAATCACTCACAAGTTAAATAATGGTATGTATCTCGCTAGAAAAAGCCTGTCCAGATGAACAGCCACAATACTCTTTTCTTTCAGTGTAATCTGCATAACATATGACTTGGAAAGCCTTTGGGGCTAAGGGCAAATGTGCCAAGGTAGAAATTTAGTATCTGGAAATATTTAAAGGTAAACTATAAAGTAAGTTTTACTTTACTTAGCAAAGAGTTACTGAGTGCTTACTTTGTGATGAACACTGCTCTAAGTTCTTGACCAGATTCTTGGAATTTAATCCTTGAAAACTGCCACATCAATTTTATGACCATATTACCAACTGGGTGCTATTATTATCTTCAGGTTAAGAAAAACCAATGGAAATTTAGTGAGACTAAGTAGTTTACTTGGCTCAATGCCATGCATTTAATAACACAGCTAAGTGGTGAAACAGAGGGAAAAAATCTTTTTTAAACAGTGAGAAAGAAATATCAAGCCCAGAAAATTCTATATTCAGATAAATTTATCATTACATATATTGATAGGACATTAGAATTCAAGATAAAAGTTTGGCCTCAATAAATCCAAAGTAATAGCTAATTTTATGAAATTCTGTAAACCATAGAATTAACTTATTTTAAGTTATGAAATTTCACCCTGGAATATCAAACTAATATTGCTAAAAAGTTTGCTTAGTTAAGTATATCAGGCTCATTGATGAAATGTAGACATCAAAGTTGTTTTAAAACCCAGCTATGGGTGTCTCTCCCTCTCCTCTGCTTTTCTGCACTTGTTTAGCTAGTTGGGCTGCTCCAACAGTCATGTTTCCCTACCACCACCCAGTCAGGAAAAATGAGGAACCTCAAGCAAAAACGACCCCAGCAACGTTTCTCTGAAGGCCACCAGGTGATGTGCCTGTCAATGCACTTGGGGCAGTGCTGCAGCCTTGTGGCCCCCTGTCCTCACATGCAGAGTCTAAGAATTCCTCTTCTCCTTGGCACTTACTATAGACACAATGGCTTCCAGATGGCCATTTCTGCTCAATGTAAGGTTGTTTTCCCTTCTTGGAAAGTTGGAAGTGCTGATGAGGAATATTAGAGTTCAGAGATCTTGAGTCCTCTTTAGACGAAGGCCAGGCTTTGGGGAATAAAACAAGAACGTCTGAGAGGCCCCTGCTGTGGGCCCCTCCCCACTCTGGCAGCTACTTCAGAAGCTGGCCAGGAAAACCCTGCTTGACTGGTGAGGGAGGGACATGGCTGGAAAGCCAACAGAGGATACACTGGGTCGTGGCAGTGCCCGGCCCCACTTCAAAATAAGATTGGTTCAAAGTCTGTCTGAAGCTGGACCGGAATTCCGATTGCTTGTTTACCTGCTGAGCTGAAAGGGAGCAGCTGGAGCCTCAGCAATCAGCCATATATGTAAACCACAGGGCCAAACACAATCAAGGAAAAGGAGCATAGAGCCATCAAAAATGTAGGGAACACCACCAAAGATTCCCTTGGACAAAATACACCTGCATAACGGTGAAATACTCCCAGGCACTGGTAAGTCTATAGTTATGTGAAACTTCATCCTATAGCTGTTAACTTCCCCACACTTACACTGGGAATTCCTTCAGAACCTGCCATTCCTAGACAACACTGTCAGGCTATTCCATGCATACTTATGATATAGATCACATTCCTTCAACAACCTGAAACTAAGGATGATTCACATCAAGTCATTCCATGGCTAATGACAAGGTGAAAGCTACAAGCCGGAAATACAGAATATATCCACTGCACTGTCAGTTCATTAAACAAACACTATGCTGGTAACAGGCTAGGACATGTTTACTAAGGGATCCTCATGAAAAACCTACATGTAGTGTAGATATTGCTTCAGTGCTGATGTCTTGTCCCAGACTCTCTCACAATATTATTCATAAGCTTATCAGTGAATGATGCAATTATTCAAGAAGATTTGACAATGTCTGTGGTTGGTCCCAGTCTCAACCTAAACAAGACTGCACAGCGTCAGACTGAAGCCTGTCAGTGTGGGCTGAAGCTGATGTCACCCCAGAGCACGCCCTGATAGGAAGCCTCCCAAACATAGCCGTCATCTTGATTCACTTTTCCTTTTATAGCAACATCAGTTCATTTGTGGGTAAGAAACAACACATCTGTCTGCAGCAAAAAATTGTAAAAATTTTAATTGCTAAGAAAAAAAAATCTGTCTACACCCATGTCTCTCTCCTAATACAGATCAGTAAACATTATCTTTCTAATTCATGCTTCTCTCAGATCACATCATAATATTGACTCTCAATCAGCCCATAGACATTCCATACGCCTTCAGGGGTATGTTCTTGAGGAGTTTAAGAAGGGGATATTTAGTGCAGCAGCTCAGCTGCTATTTGGGAAGCCAGTACCCCAAATCAAAGTGCCTTGGTTCAAGGTCTGACTCTGCTTCACAAACTTCCTGGTAATGTGCACACTGGGAGGCAGCAGGTGATAGCTCAGTTAGTTGAGTCCTTGTATGGCACAGGAGAGACTACCTTCTGGCTTTGGCCTGGCCCAACCCACTCTGTTGCCTGCATTTGGGGAGTGAACCAGTAGATGAAGATCTCTCTCTCTCTCTTCTCTCTGCCTTTCAAATAATAAAAGTTTTAATTATTTTAAAAATTTCTAAAGAGTTTACAAATAGTTGTTATAACTGCCTTGAGGACACACAGTAGTCTCTGAACACTGTGTACGGAATATAAAGAAAAGCAGCAGTGAAGTTTGGAAGAAAAAGCAAGATTGTTCACTTACAAAGAACTGATTCACACATTCCTGCTGCACCTGTGGCCAAGCCCATGTTATAAGTAGCATCCTGGCACCTCAATTTCATGACCTTCCAGATGGGGAGGGTAGTATCTCATGTTATAAAACCTAAAAAAAAAATAGTGCATGTCAAAGGAGTTCATAAATTAAAGATTTCTACATACACAGAAGGTGATACAGTCAAAACCATGTTTCTGTTCCATGCACTCAGAGCACTAAGAAGCATTCATGTTTAATCAGACAAAATTGGCATTGTACATTCTAATGTCAAATTACACAAAGCATTAGTTTACTTTGAATTCAGCTCTGATGGTGTCAAGAGTATAAACAGAAAATTACTTTCTTCACATATAAGATACATTACTCAAAAAAGCTTTATCCACGCATTCAAATTTCAAAACATAATTTCCATAAGCATAGTTATATAAAAATTCATCCATAGGAAAATGGTTTAGAAACTCTTTAGACAATGTGAACTTAGTTTTCAGCACACTGAAGCATACTGGCTGCCAGTTTTCTTTTGATTTGAAAACTCACTTGTCCGTCTCATGGTAGCAAAATTCACATTAAAAAAAAATGCATGAAACAAAACTGCCAAAGCAATGTATGTACAGTATAAAGGTCTTTGGCATATTAAGCCAAAGAACACTACCTTGACTCCTGAGAAGTATATCCACAGAAAATATCGTGTACACAGGCAATGATACAGTTTAGTTGTTTCTTTCTCATGTATACTCCATATTCTTGTTAGTGAAGCCCACACATTTCTCATTGAGGAAAAAACTATTTGAAACTTTCTAATTCCATCCTTCCCAAAAAGTAAATGAAAACGATATAGTGGAAATGAAAGCTGTAGATGTCATGTGGTGACAAAAATAAACCAGATAGGGTTTCTTATATGTGTCCTGAAAGCTATGATTAAAGCAGAAATGCACTATCATATTCTTATCATATGGGATGACATGCAAGAAAATGCAAGAGGCATAAAACAAAGGTTCACTAGCCTCTATCAATTCTGAGTATCTACCGTGAAAAATGAAGAAGTGGGATTGGATTCTCTCTCATCTTGTTGCAAGACACACATTAAAATCCCTGTAAAGAATGACGGTGTTACAAAGTCAGACTGCGATGGGCTGCAGAGAGCCACTCAGAGTTGGACTTAGTCTTAAGGGTAAGGAAGAGCCACAGAAGAGTGGAAGAAGAGAGTGATCTTAAAACCCTGATGCCTTCTACGGAAGTGGTTTCATTAAAAGGGTCTCCCTGAGCTGCCCTACAACTGTGAGCAGGTGGACATTGTAAGCTCAGAGGAGTAAGGGCTGTCCTTGAGCTCACCTAGCAGGTTTGGAACTTAGTCTTCAGTTTTACAGCCTGTCTTCCCAGGTTCTTTCTAATGGTTTTCAAAAAGTGTGCCAGGAAGCCCTGGCATTGTAAAAGGTGGCCTCGGGTCTCTTGGCTAGAGAGGCACCTTTCCAAGGATGAAATGGGTTCTAGCTTATTCTATCCCAGCCCCCCACCCTATGCAGACTCCCTGAGGACACATTCAAGGCTAGGAGAGTACAGATCTCTTAGTACAGAGATTTCAAAAATTTTTTGCAACAAAATAAACTTATCTTTTAATCCCCTTTTTCCAGGACCTTGTTGAAGGATCTTGGTATTTTACATCAGTTCTTTTAAAATATTTGTCCATTCATTTACTCCCATTTTTCAAAACAAGTGAGCTGGTCTTAGTCCTCCCTCCACCCTCTTGAATAGATCACTCCAAATCACACATTTTAAAGAACAGTTACCTGCAAGTCCTTTTATTCCCAGTCCCTTAACTATCACCTTAAGTATCATCAAGGGATCTCACATTCAGTATGATAAAACAAAGTGTGGTAAATACTCCTGGCTACTAACTTATAGTGAGTGTGAATTTCTAGAGAAAGTGGTAGAACCCACCATGTCCAGCACTAGCAACTATGTTCTCAGGCCCCAATTAAAATCAGTAAAGGTCAGCTAGAGAAAACAGAGAATTCTACATGAAATTTATATACACACACACACACACACACACTAATTAAATTAACAATGTAAGTGGAAAATTATAAAGGAAATATCTAATTAAATTTGTTTTTCCTATCTCACTCCTCCAGCACCAAATTCATCTGCAAGCAGGGAAAGGAACAGGCAAACATAAACCATAAACCACATGGAACTTGACTGCCTCCTGACAAATATCTTTGCATCAGAAATATCCCAAGAAAGCCAGAAAATTAATCATAAGGAGGAAAAAGCATGAAGGTAATGAATGTAATTTGGATAGTAAACATCCGCACTTCTTTCCCTGCTCTGAACTCCCAGCAAGTATGCCCTCTCCTTAACCTTCATCTCAAGCAAACAGAAGGTCATGAAAACCAAACCAGGGACCCTGCAGATTTTAGAATATTTATTACTATCTTCAAAAGCCTCTGGCATACCACTTTTTTTTTTTTTTGGTGTAATTCATTTACATGATTGAATTTGAGGCACATCAGAAACATTAGAAGCCCACTGCCGATCCACCGAAGGGACAAATCGCTCACTGTCCAGATGCCCATATACGGCCAGATTTCCTATAAGTCTGACAGCTCTATGCATGCATTGCGTATGGCTCTTGGCTCTGAGTCACATTCCTCCGGTATGTTTCCCTGGGAGCTTTGATTTCCGCTTTGAGGGCTGGCTCTGACTCCTACTTGCTCTTATAAGAAAATGTCTACAACTGAAAGTTGAAAATGTGCAAGATTCCTTCTTTAAGTACACAAACACTCCAAGTCTGGCCACTTTCCTGTAAGCCTGCCAGTTTTTCTCAATGTCTGATACCTGATCAAGTCATCTTTTTTTAGGGGGGATAAAACAACAAAAAACAGAAGGAAAGGAATGCAGAGCACCCACAGTTGACATCTTACAAGACTTAACCAAACGACCTGTAAAAATGATGCCTGAGTAGACACACACATACCTTATTTAGCTTGGTAAACAGGACTCAGTAGCCAACTTAGTGAATTCCTCATTTTGGGGGGTGGCTTGGGATGCCTCTAAAAAGCATCTGCTAGTTCAACACTTGCTTACAAGTCAAAATTAGTGCATCTTACCATTCTGCACACACATTCAAAGGCCTTTTTCTCCCAATTCTGACCTGCTGTCAATCAAAAGAGTTGGGATAAGTCAGAATTGGACAAAGTTAGAAGCCACTATTTCCACTTTACCACCCAGGCCCACGCAAACATTTGCTGAGTCATTTATAATAGCACAAGAATTCAGATTCCATGGCATGAATTAAGGACAGAGTGTAAGCATTTCCCTTTGAATTTCCTGGCACTTGATAGTCTGTATCACAACAAAAACATACTTTTGAGTCTATGAATGTCTTGGATATCATTTCGTATATTCATTCTCTCTTTCTCTGTAGAGGTGGAGGGGATCTATCTCTGTCTGTGTGTCACTCTCCTAATAATCTTCTATTTTAACCCTTTCAAAACAGTTGTGATCATAAAGCCTCAACCTAACATAATACACAACACATTCTTAGTGGGATTTCACATGTTTGATATATTTCAAGATGCTTATTTTCTCTTAGTCAATATTAAAATCTCTCACTTGAAACTAACCAGGAACTTGTTTTTGAGACTTTGGTTTTACTATAAAATTCACATCGTCCTTCAAACTCTTTATAATATGTCTTGAAATTCTTACCAACAGAGCAGAATGCTAATACACCTACTATGTATATAGAGAAAATCAAGAAAGACCCAGAATATAAAGGACCAGTTCCTTGAGAAATCAATCTACTCAACCCTCATTGATCATTATGAAATTAGAAAATTCTCCCCTTCATCTGATAAATGCAAGCTTGGGAATAATATGGCTCCTATTTGTGACTTGCTTAAGTTTTGTGAATGGCAGTTCTAAGAACACAACCCTGGTCACCCAGTTCAGCAATTTATTCCTTCCATGAATGAAAGTCTCCCCCTGCATGCATGAAGCTGGTAATGGCAACATTCAGACACGGCTGAGGATTAAAAAAACAAAAATCCCCATCCATTCTCCCACCTATCTCAAGCTGCAAGCCATGAAAAATTGCCAAGGAGCCCACATCCCACCCTAGGTGAGACTCAAGCTTCAGATCCCTACACTGCCCCATCCAATCCCCACCTTTCCAACCATTAGTGGTAGAAATAATTGGAGGTTTAGGTCTTGAAAGATTTCACTGTGGCTTCCCACATATTTTGGACTTTTAAAATCATCCACAAGGAAGAAACAGTTGGGGGCCAAGTTGCCTTTAATACACACGTGGTTATTAACATAATTTGGAATGTTCCTTCTTTAAATAGGAACTCTCAGGCCTTCTCTCTTTGAGGAATGCTTGGAAAGAACATTAAATAACAATGATGAAAATTCTTCCAGAGCTCCACAGGCCCCCCCTTGGCCAGTCATTCACACTGTTGACATGCAACTACACTGTACAACATGTGGCTGCTTAAGGCGGTAATTGTGCACAGATGATGTGGTCTACACTGAAGCTGGAGTGGTTATTTTTTTTTTCTTGGCTATTTTTTAATCCATGGATTCAAACTTGAAAACCTTGCCCAGTTTAAACAGGCTTTATTCAACATATAAATTTATTATGCATTGTTGCTAAAGTTGGTGCCATCAAAGACAGGCATACTTAGACCTGTATCCTGAAGTATCAACAACTGAGAGGAATGCACTCCTTGGTAACACCAGTGTCATACCATGTGGCATTAGGGAAGACAAAAATGGCCTGGCCCTAGGATCACTGTCTTTATATAAAATGGTAACTGGAGATACTAGCAAACAACCACTAAACATCACAGATTCTAGATGGAAGCACACTGAATTAACTGGACCACTGGGGAAGCTAAATGGCAATTTGAAATTGGAGATATGCTTCAGTTTACGGGTCATATTTGACATCTGTACATAAGCAGGGGGGACAAAACCTATTCTTTCCTGGCTCCAACCTTACCCATTAGCTTACCTGTTCCTTGGGTAACCAGAAGTCACAACCCCTGTTTATAGATATGTAAGGAGTCACTAAAAATATAATTATTCACAGACACTCTTCTAACCGGATATAATGACCGGGTGCACTGTTGTTACATAACCGCCTTTTTTACCTCAAGTCAAACCAAGTCTAATGCACAGTTGAAGATTACAAGTTTCAGTGCAAGAAAAATCACTTCTCCAAGACCCCAGAACAGCAGTGTTTAAAATACCCCCAATGAAACCCAAGCTTCCTGCTGGCCTCCTGCTGTCGGTTCCACTCTTCCCATTGCTGTGTTCCCATCCTGACACCCAGAGCCTGCGACTTCCCAACACATCATCATTTGCTGGGAGGTAACAATAGACACATTTTTCTGGAAACACTGATGTCCATTCATCCCCTTTCCCTCCCCACACCCCTAACAATGCAACTCCTACAAGTATTAAGAGAAAGCAAAGCAAAAGTGCTAGAAATCTCCCCCAGGACACCGCATCCATACACAGAGCCCCCACCCACCCCCACTCCCCCTTTGTTCCCTTTCTTGTCTGCCCCTGGGCGACCAAACTGTCAACTGCAATGACAAAGGATGGAATTCCCACACTTTGGAGATGAAATTCAGGGTTGTGCAGGTAGACATCTCGGGGATTTCACATGGTTCAAAGCCAGGTCCTGGCTTTCTGCTCTCTGGAGAGTTTCAAGGGCCTATAGCTTCTAAAGCGAAAACTCTTGCAGAAAAAATCGTAAAAAGGAAACCCTTTCGCATTTTGGGAGGACTCCCTGCCGTTTGCCTCTTCAGCTACCTACCTACCTCCTCAAAAGGGATTTATGTCAGCGGAGAGCGCGAGGCAAAGCTCTTAGAAACAGAACTGGTCTAAAATCGAATAACTGCCGATGTGTTTTCAGTGATATAAATCAGGAGTGGTGCGAAGAGGCTAGAGGGAAAAAAAATCCTATTTGGTGCTGGAAATACTGCGCCTTTTTTTTTTTTCCTGGCGAGCCGGAGTGTGCCAGCTTTTTCAGACGGAGGAATGCTGAGTGTCAAGGGGTCAGGATCAATCCGGTGTGAGTTGATGAGGCAGGAAGGTGGGGAGGAATGCGAGGAATGTCCCTGTTTGTGTAGGACTCCATTCAGCTCATTGGCGAGCCGGGGCCGCTCTGAGCGTATAAAAGCCTCGGGCCGCCCGCCCCAGCCTCACACAACAACTCTTCCCCGCTGAGAGGAGGCAGCCAGTGCAACTCCAACCGCAGGCGACCGACCGCCTCCAGCCCGACGGCAGCCGCCCCGGCCGACAGCCCCCGAGACCACAGCCCGACACGTCCAGGCACCCACCTCCGGCCACAGCCTGCGTCCCGGCTCCGGCCCAGCGCACCGCGCCCACTTCGCCGCCGCGCACTCCGCCCCGCCGCCCGCTCCGTCCACAGCACCCAGACCATGGCCGCCGCCGTGGGCCCTCTCCGCTTCGCCTTCGTGCTCCTCCTCGCCCTCTGCAGCCGGGTAAGCTCAGGGAGCCTCCGCCGCAGCCAGCGGCTGCCGGGGAGGGACTCGGGGCCGGGCGACGCCGGGGGCGTGCGCACCGAGCCGAGCACAGGCTGACCGCCCCTTCCTCCCTGCAGCCGGCCGCCGGCCAGGACTGCGGCGGACAGTGCCAGTGCGCGGCCGCGCCGGCGCCGCGCTGCCCGGCGGGCGTGAGCCTCGTGCTGGACGGCTGCGGCTGCTGCCGCGTCTGCGCCAAGCAACTGGGCGAGCTGTGCACGGAGCGCGACCCCTGCGACCCGCACAAGGGACTCTTCTGTGACTTTGGCTCGCCGGCCAACCGCAAGATCGGCGTGTGCACCGGTAAGACCCCCGCGCCGGTGCCCGGTCACTTCCTCCCTCAAAAGCCCACCCGCTCGCTCGCCCGCTGGACCTAAAAACCCCTAGACTGGAGCCCCTTTCTGCAGCTGCTTGCAGCCCGCCCCCTGCAGCCGGATCCTAACTTGCATCCCAGCTGCGCGTTTATAAGTTAACAAGTCTGGGAACGGGTACCTGACCTCTGCATCACCCCCTCCCTGCTTTCCTTCCTCTCCTTCAGCCAAAGATGGAGCTCCCTGCGTCTTCGGTGGCACGGTGTACCGGAGCGGAGAGTCCTTCCAGAGCAGCTGCAAATACCAGTGCACTTGCCTGGATGGCGCGGTGGGCTGTGTGCCCCTGTGCAGCATGGACGTCCGCCTGCCCAGCCCGGACTGCCCCTTCCCGAGGAGGGTCAAGCTGCCCGGGAAATGCTGCGAGGAGTGGGTGTGTGACGAGCCCAAGGACCACACCGTGGTTGGCCCTGCCCTGGCCGGTGAGTTGAGTCTTCCTCTAAGTCAGTGTGATGCCTCACCCCCACCCCTACCCCGGCCACGGGAGGTTGAGTCCTGAGGATGCCAAGTGCCAGGGGAAATGTCTTCTGCTGGCGTTTCACCTTGTGTTTGCGTGCTCTGTTCTCACAGCCTACCGACTGGAAGACACATTTGGCCCAGACCCAACCATGATGCGAGCCAACTGCCTGGTCCAGACCACAGAGTGGAGCGCCTGTTCCAAGACCTGCGGGATGGGCATCTCCACCCGGGTTACCAATGACAACGCCTTCTGTCGGCTGGAGAAACAGAGCCGCCTCTGCATGGTCAGGCCTTGCGAAGCTGACCTGGAAGAGAACATTAAGGTACCTGTCCGCTTCCTGTTAACTCGTGTTCGTGGGACGATGATAGTGGGTAGCACCAAAGTTAGGTCTCCTCTCACCGTCCTTGTTGCAATAGGAGCGTTATCTCCAAAAATATCTAACCATGGAGCTGTTTGGCTGGAATGAGAGATTGTGTAATAGGAGCCACAAATTTTCCGCTACAAAACCCTCCATAGTGTTAGTTAATTCAAGGCATTCCAAGAGAGGCCGTGGCTATTTTTGGAAAACTGGCACTTCACAAGCTTTCTCTTTTCAAAATACAACAGACCAGAGCTCAGAGTAGAAGAATGCCACTTCCTAGTGGCGCCACTGACTTTTCTCTTCTCCCCTTGTTTTCCTTAGAAGGGCAAGAAGTGCATCCGTACCCCCAAAATCTCCAAGCCGGTCAAGTTTGAGCTCTCTGGCTGCACCAGCGTGAAGACGTACCGGGCTAAGTTCTGCGGAGTATGCACCGATGGCCGATGCTGCACCCCACACCGAACCACCACCCTGCCGGTGGAGTTCAAGTGTCCTGACGGCGAGCTCATGAAGAAGAGCATGATGTTCATCAAGACCTGTGCCTGCCATTACAACTGTCCTGGGGACAATGACATCTTTGAGTCACTGTACTACAGGAAGATGTATGGAGACATGGCATAAAGCCAGAGAGTGAGAGACATGAACTCATTCATCAGGCTGTAACTTGAACTGACTCACATCTCATTTTTATGTAAAAAATGATTTCAGTAGCACAAGCTATTTAAATACGTTTTTCTAACTGGGGGAGAAACAATTCCTACCAAATTCAAAACATTGTGCCATGTCAGACAAATACTCTTATCAACCCCAGACACTGGTTTGAAGAAAGCTTAGACTTGACAGTGAGACTAAATTAGCGCACAGCGCCAGAATGTGTACAAAGGTGTGGCTTTAGGAGCACAGAGAGGCACCAATAGAACAGCTAGGACGATCAGATGGCCTCTGAAAGTAGTAATATACCAGCTATTTGGAGTGTGATTATAGATGGAAATATTTAGCATGCTCGCTGACCTGCCTTTAGCTCCAGCGACAGCTAGGATGTGCGTTCTGCAGCCATTATGAGACTGAGTCAAGTTGTTCTTTAAGTTGGAACAGCAGATTCAGCTCTGACATTCTGATTCAAATGAGTGTTCAGGAATCAGAATCCTGTCTATTAGACTGGACAGCTTGTGGCAACTTAATTTGCCTGTAACAAGCCAGAATTTTTTATTGATATTGTAAATATTGTGTGTGCGTGTGTGTATATATATATATATATTTGTACAGTTATCTAAGTTAATTTAAAATTGTTTGTGCCTTTTTGTTTTGTTTTTAATGCTTTGATATTTCAAATGTTAGCCTCAATTTCTGAACACCATAAGTAGAACGTAAAGCTTGTCTGATAACTCAAAGCATGAAATGGATACTCGTGGAAATTCTGTTCAGAGTAACAGTCCATCCAAACAGACAATTTGCTGAAGGTGAGGCAGTGATGTCCTTGGAAGTCTGATTTCTATGTAGGAAATGTGGTAGCCTCACTTCATGCACAAATGGCCTTTATTTAAAAATGAGTGGCTCTATGTTGTAGCTGATCAGTCTTTCCACCTGGAAGCATTTGTTTCTACTTTGACTATGACTGTTTCTGGACAGTTTATTTGTTGGAGAGTGTGACCAAAAGTTACATGTTTGCACCTTTTTAGTTGAAAATAAAGTATATATTTTTTCTATAGAGGACTTGGTTCATTTATGTTAAGATAATTCCCAATCTTTTTTAAATTGATGAATCAATAGGATTGATAAACATACTTCACACTAACTACGCATCATAGACTTAAAGGCATGCACGTCACATGGAGTACATACATAGTTTTCTGCACTCTAGATGACTTCTATCTCCATCATCTACAAGGGCACCTTCTACATTTAGTGCCTCTCTGACCACTGTAGGTTAATGTTTCCAATCCTTCACATCATAAACTAGTCTATGAACTTTGCACATGGAAAATGCGTGAATTTTTTTTTTAATTTGTAGGCTGTACTGTAGGTCTGCTTCTGAAGTTTGGTATCTTCCTGCTAAATCCGAAAAGTATAAAATGAAATCTACAATAAATGGGACAACTAGTAAGTCTTCCTTCGATAGTTTTGTGTTCAGTTGCCATGATAAGCAATGATAAGTAGTAGTCTCCAGATCAGTGGATCCTGCTTACCAAGTGGCTTCTAAGTGATCCAATGAAGTTGTTCAATAGTCCTGTTATAGAAATTATATTTAATATATGCAGGCTTCTAAAAGAAAAATGAACCAAAGTGAATGACAAAAGAAACAATCAAATGGTAACTAGGAGCCCCTGCTTTTTTCAGGTGAGGAGAACAACTTAAGTCCAAGGGAAAAAAACAGTTGCAGACAGATCAGCGTGTCCCAGGGTAACTGGCAATGTTGTAGTGCCAGTGTCATTCCGAGAGACAAAAATACACCTGAAAAATAAAGACTAGTTCTACAAACAGTGCCCATGCCACAAATCAAAGGGAAAACTTCCGTATTCAAAATGTGAACTGTATTTCTGGTCAAAACATTGTTTTAGGATATACCTAACTATGTATATAGCAACGCTGTCAATAGTAGCAACCTCCCCACCCCAGATACACAGGCACACACACACACACACACAGAACACATTGCTAGCTCCAATTACTTTCTGTCAATTGACTTCAAGCTGCAAAGATGAAAGACCATGGTAAACGAGCCTGATTGTTCTGAAAGGAACTGGAGCATTGTAGAAGGATGGAAATAGTAGTAGAAGCACAGATTTCAGATTTTCTAAGTCCCCTTAGAAAAATAGAGTGATTACATTGCAAATCATAACCCAAAGAGCAATATTTGAAACAAAATCAGGAAACTCGCTGACCCCCTTCCCCAAGTATGCATGAGGGCAAACCATCGAGTACCATAAGGCCTATACTATGTCTGCATGTGTGTGGGAAAAAGCAGAGCGAGTCCAGATATTATCCAAGGCTCTTGAAAACAGGGGAGCTCCAAAGCAGCCAGCAAGTGTTGGCTAGTGAGAGAGGAGGCCACTTTGAGAACAGCAGCTGGAACTGGCCACGGTGTTGGCCACTTCAAACAAACTTACAAGCCAGGGCTGTTTTCCAAGACAGGACCCCCGCACACACACTTGGGAGTGGAATAAAAATTGAATAGATCAGGGATAATGGAGACATTGAAAGAGAGCATCCATACACAAATGAGGCAAACGGAGATTCAAATCTAAGGAAATAAATGGCCATGTTTTAATATTGCAGGAAGAGAAGAAATTTAGAAATCCTATGTAAATCAAGCCTCCCACCAGAACAAAGTTCAGGAAAATGAATGTCATTGAAGTTAAATGAAATTATCAAAGCCAAATCTCACAAAAGTTGCTCTCTGAATTTAAAAAAAATGAAAAAATAAAGGGCACAATAGCATCCCCACAGGTAGTAAAAGCATTCATGAAATACATGTTCACAGAACATAGAAAAATGATCACTCTTCCAAAAGAGCATTCAAAAAAGTTATATTAGGTATATTTGACAATAAGAAAACAAATAATGGCATAAACAGCAACATATATCAGAATTAGCAAAATTCAGAAATATGGTGACAAACTATAAGAAGTTAGACATAAAGGAAATATATAAAACCAGAAGGAGCACAAGAATGAATAACCACAACAGAGAAGGGGAAAAAATTTTAAAAGAAGAAATAAATATGTTTCAAGAAAAAGTGATAATACTGTAGACAATCACAAAAAACTGATATATAAGTACTATGAATTATTGAGGAAAAAAATTATTATTTAATAAACTTTACTTACATAAAAATTATTTTAAAGACTTATTGAAAGAGCATTCCATGTTCATAACAAAAATCAACCACAGTAAGACAATCTAGTAAAATTGATGGAATTTAAAGAAAAGGAAAAGGCATAAAGAACATGAACAAAAGGAAAATCATTAGCAAAAGGACAATAGTTCATCATTGGATTTGGATTTTTTTACAACAATAACAGAAAATAATGCAATAACATATTTAAGGAAAAGATAATATGGGCCAAAGAACTTTTATCCTCAAAATTGACTTTTTGAGAAAAAGGACACAGGGAGTTGGCGCTGTGGAGTAGCAGGTAAAGCTGCCAACATCCCATATGGGTGCCAGTTTGAGTCTCAGCTGCTCCACTTCAGATCCAGCTCTCTGCTATGGCCTGGAAAAGCAGTAGAAGATGGCCCAAGTCCCTGGGTTCCTGCACCCACGTGGGAGACCTGGAGGAAGTTCCTAGCTCCTAGCTTCAGATCGGTGCAGCTCTGGCCGTTGTGGCCAATTGGGGAGTGAACCAGCAGAAGGAAGATATCTCTCTCTCCCTCTCCCTCTCCCTCTCCCTCTCCCTCTCCCTCTCCCTCTCCCTCTCCCTCTCCCTCTCCCTCTCCCTCTCCCTCTCCTTCTCTCTCTGTGTAACTCTGACTTTCAAATAAATAAATAAACCTAAAAAAAGTAAAGAAAAGAAAAAGGACACAGGGGGACTGCCACTTTGGCATACCAGGTTAAGCCTCTACCTGTGACACCAGTATCCTATATGGGCACTGGTTCAAGACCTATCTGCTCTACTCCCGTTCCAGCTCCCTGCTAATGCGCCTGGAAAAGCAGCAGCAGATGGCCCAAATGCTTGACCTGGAAGAAGCTCCTGGCTCACGGCTTTGGACTGGCCCAGCTCAGGCCATTGCGGCCGTTTAGAGAGTTAACTAGCGGATGGAAGATCTCTCTCCCTTTCTCTTTCTCTCTCTCTCTCTCTCAGTAATTCTGCCTTGCAAATAAATGGATACATCTTGGGGAAAAAAAGGAAAAGATGTCCTAAATATCTCTGTCTCTTCGTGTTTCTTGATCCAGACTTGGAATCAATCATTCTCCAACAACCCTGGTTTCTTTATTGGAAACTTGGATTTCAAGAGTGCTACCTGAGCCAAAGGATGTTCATTGTTTTGAGTAACCATTCCATCTAAGCCTTTTCATTAGGTAGTTATAAGGGAAAAAAGAAGAATGTGTCTTCAGAGCTGGGCCGATCCAAAGCCAGGAGCTAGGAGCCTCTCTGGTCTCCCATGTGGGTGCAAGAGCCCAAGACGTGGGCCATCATCCACTGCTCTCCCAGGCCACAGCAGGGAACTGAGTCCAAAGTGGAGCAGCCAGGACTGGAACTGGTGTCTACATGGAATGAGACAGCGGCTTCACCTGCTACCCTGCAGAGCCAGCCCCAGGACATCTTTTCAGACTGAATAATAAGAAAGTTAACAAGTACCATTAAGGTCCTGTCAAAAAGATACAGGACACAAATAAGAGAGACTTCTACTAAAGATGAAGCAACTGAGCTCCAAGAAGGCTAAGAAGGATGTGCATTAGCCTGTTGACTACACTAACGTTCATTAGTTCACAATGATAGTTAGAGGCTGATCAGGTCACCTTCTGATTCTGCACAAACAAAGTATAATTTTTCTCTGATGACTTCATTACATTTTTGGAACACTATAAATCTCCTTCTGTCTAGGAAGAGGTACCCTAATCTTAAATACAATCCAGAGATGTTTTCTAAAAAGAATAAGTGTTTTAGCAAATAGTTCATCTTATGATGATAAGGTCAAGATAACTTTATATTCTTTTAATGATTTTCTAGATTTTTCATGTCTTGGGTAATTAATATGCATCATTTTATAATCAAAAAGACATTTAAAATAAATATGCCATCTCTTCTTTTAAAAACATCCAAGAATATTCCAGGAAGAAACACTAACAAATAGAGTTTTTCATGATTTTGGAGGTAGCTCACAATACATAAATTAATGGCTTAGAAAACCAAGCCATTGTATTTCAATTGGCCATGTGCCTAAAAGTATGTGCAACACAATATAAACTTGAGGAAAGCCAGATATTCATTGCATATTCCGTGCATTCTCTTGTCCCATTTCCCATGCCTTAAATAAAATCATGGAAGATTGTCCTCTGTAAGTTTATTTTTTTCAAAGACAAAGTTACAGAGAGATGTAGAGGCAAAGAGAGAGGTCTTCCATCTATTGGTTCCCTCCCTAGATGGCAACAGCCAGAGCTGCACTGATCCGAAGCCAGGAGCCATGAGTTTCTTCCAGGTCTCCCACGTGGATGCAGGGGTCCAAGGACTTGGGCCATCTTCTGCTGCTTTCCCAGGCCATAGCAGAGAGCTGAATTGGAAGACGAGCAGCCAGGACATGAACCAGTGCCCATATGGATGCCAGTGCTTTAGGCCAGGGCTTTAACCTGCTTCACCACAGAGCCGGCCCCCTCTCCGTAAATTTATAACTATTCTTTACCTCATGAGTCATACTGATTATATACAGACTATTACTAGGACTAAGAATAAAGCGAACAAAGTAAAATATATTCTTACAATAGTAAGTCAGGTTCCAAATCTAAATATAGGATCCAAAGCAACAGACATATAGACCCTTCTTCTATATTGAGCGATTAAAAGATATAAAAGAAGAGTTGGCAAGAAATGTAGAGTATCCTTTATTAATCAGAATTCTTATCTCAATATCAACATGTTAAGACTTGCGTTAAGTCAACCAATTCTAATACTTTTTTGTCAGTATGGTTAATATGTATACATTACATATCTGAACGGCAACACATAGTGCACCTAACAAGTTTCACTGCCTAATTAACTAGCACATC